TATACTAAACGTACACGCTGAGAATAGTTGTAGGGACAACCGAAATATGTGATATAGTAAACTAAAATAGCATTTTGTGTTCTCCCAATATTAAATAAATGACATTTTCACCCAATTATTGCCATATGTATTTCATTTGTTTCCGTTAAAGAGTGTTTGTCCATCGTGTGTACTTGGGTGCAAAATAAAATTTTGTGTTCTGAAAGTCGACACCGATGTCTGAATTTTTTATTTATCGTCTCTACATTTATAATTATATAATAAGCAATTAGTAGAGTTGTGTATCATACACTAGCGGAAATTTATTATACGAAGGGTAGATTAATGCTTGAAAAAAAAATCCTGACGAAAGTCATTTTTTCAATTACCACTTCAATCAACAAACGACGTTTCCACAGGCTCGCGTCGTAGTGTTAGGTGTAAAAACACTAGAATTCGTCGCGGTGCGAGATACATATTGTACAAATTGTTTTCACCTTTTGCACACGAACCGAAAAAGATCAAGCAAATCGTGTACTAATTGAAAATTTAATGCACGGTTGGGAATGGGAAATAATATTGGGAATTACAGTGATGACGTCACGATTGACTTATAATTTCATTCATTAAACGGTAGAAGGAATAATCTCGGAGAGTGAAAAATCGATTGTAATGGTATTATTAATCTTATAATAATTGATACTCAAAGGCTACAAAAAAGTGAAGGCTCACGTCATTCCCTGATCAGTTGAAAGATAATGCAGTTCCTTGAAGCCAAAAATAGACCAATGTATACGCTCGTTTACTACTTATGTAATGACGGTGCATGTTTTCCATGGAGTAAATGACCTGGGTTTCTTGTTTTTTCATTCGTATCCATCAGCAAGTCAAAAATTACAGGATGAAAGATGCTTTATAAACCAAGTCTTTTTATGAGTCTAAGTTTTCGTTAAAAAAAAATCCTGTCAAAGAATTGAACCCAGGATGATACTGAGTTTAGCAGGCAAGCATCTTAACCACAATGAAGCACACACCTTCACCCAAAGATACAAATACCTCCATGGTTCCGACAAAACCGAACCAATAAGGGAAATCCCTTCGTAATACCGGAAATAAACTTGATATTCCAGTGACGCAAAGAAACCCACACATTCAAATTCCCATCAACAAGAGATTGAATAGATGTGGTGGTATAGTCGTAAAGTAGGCATAAATGGCTCCAAATTATGCAGTTTTATGCATAAATGAGTCCACTTTTTAAAGAATGGGTCCATATTTCTTATATTTAGCCTAAAATGGGTAAACTTTTAAGAAAATGGGTCCAAATTTTTCACATTTTTGTATAAAGTGAATCAACTTTTAAGAAAATATCCACATTATTTGAATTTATTCGTAAAGTGGGTCCAACCTGATATTGTCCCGCACTGTTTGAAAATCCTGGCTATACTATACGGCATTGGTAGGCCTAATATAATTACGTATACGAAACTATAATTTCTGTTACCATTGGTCATAGGAATACGAACATTACATTAATGTGATTGGTAGGTATAATTTAGTAATTTCATAATTAAGTGAAGCAATCTAGCTGAAAATAGTTAAACGCCAAACAATCAAATACATTTATGATGAGGGGATGAATTTCCACAAGTCACAACTATGAATTCAATTCCCTAAAAAGTGAGAGTTTAAAATATAAGGTTTCCTTATTTTGTCGCAGAGAGCTGCTTCCATTTTCAAAATATTCAGAGCACGAATTAACGGCGAGTTAGCGCAGCAGATAAGCAATTTTGGTGCAGGGACTGAGTTTTGAGACCTACCAGTGCCGACGTACTTGTTTGTGTAGTTGGATAAGATCCAGTCACCTCGACCTTCGCATGAAAAAAAGCCGGTGCGGTACCAGACCAAGTTTACCGAATCCTTGTGCTTCACGTAAACAAAAGTAGATATCCAGGGGCGCAGCCAGAGAGTGGACGAGGGGTCACGGGGGTCCTGACCCCCTCAAATTAAAAAAAATAAAAATTTAAAAAAATTAGAAAACCTAAAAAAAAAAGATAGTACCGTATGTTTGTTAACTGACAAGGATTTCATGCATTCCATCCTGGCTGCACCCTTGATATCCTAAGGCCTACAAATGACCGTCGAAGAGCTTGGCTGACACATTAAGGAATGATATGCGAGTAAGAAGAGGGTGTTCCATCGTGAATTTTATAGGCCTCTGATATTAATTTTTATGTTGCTTTTACATTCACTTTAGGCAAAATGGTTTTCGGTAAACTAGGTTTTGGCAAACTGGGTTTTCATAATTTTCGGTCTCTAAAATGGCATTCGGCACTTAGTCTAGGTATCGGCAATCTGGGATTTGGCAAACTGGTTTTCGGCAATCTGGTCTAGATCCCATTTAAGCCGTTGGTCCTTTGCGCATAATGGACTCGCCCACAAAAGTAATGTACGAAAAGAGTGGAAAATTGCGTGAAATTGCTTTAAAATCAACGTGAACGAATAATTATTTCTATTGAATGCAAATATATAGACGCTTCAAAGTATTTTCTCATAATAATAATAATAACACACCTGTTGCCATGGTGTTGGATTAGAACAACAATAGCCTTTTACTTTCTGCCTTTTCGAGTCATTTCCGTTCACATATTATTAATAGATTGCGCCACCAATGAAAATGGTAAAGCCCAAATAAGGAACATACTACGATGTGTATAGGTTTTTATCTATAGTATAATTGACACTCTCGACATACTGCTGGATTATGTAAAGAGCGAAGAACAACATTTGGATGATTCCGTAGGAATAACGCAACTTTCCATAATCAAACCAATTTCAAGTGAGTATTAGTCTAAGTAATGCAGGGCCGTAGCCACCGGTTCGGTTGGTCAACCCGACCACTTTTGACATACCACAAGTTAATTGATATTAAAGGTTTTCAATAGGAAAAAGGGCTAAATTCAACCTGTATGTTAGACTCCACCTACTCTCCCTTTGACATCACTCAGGACCTAGGGTGAAGGTTAATGATAGTTTACATTATTTTTTCCTCTTTAGAATAAGATTTATAATGATTGATTAAGAAACTATGATGCATTTTTCTTCAGTTGGAAATTCAGTGTCAGGACTATGCTTTTATTCAAAGCATAGGTCAAACTAGCCACAGTGAGCTTTTGCATAAAATCAGGCTTAAGGTTCCCTTATATACTTTGCCTAATTTTTTCACTAAATTGCCTAGTGAAAAGAAAAGAAAAAAACATGTGCCTGTGCATATTTAGGCCTATTCCTGATAGTTCTAGTATGCAACATTATTTTCTATAAATACCCTGTAAATATGTTTTTAGCGCCTCTCTTAAATACGTGTATTTATTGAAATTGTACCACAGTACTATCAATATTAGCTTTCGTCCATGTCTAATCTTAAATTTAGATAACAACGATGATGTGAGTAACAACCTTTCTCTTGAATGAACCTGTCTGGTTTGAAGTTCAAAGCGTTTTTATTGTTTACTATAGCCCTAACCCTGATGGTAGTTTAACATGTTTTTTTACTGTATTACATTACTACTGCAGAACATCATTAACAGTGGTCTAAACAATGTAAAAATACCAAATTTTTCACGGGGCACATTCGACCCCTTAACTCCGCCCGGGGACCCTTGGCGGCCTCTGGCCTCCAGCCTCAGTGTTGCTCGCAACCTGACCATTATATTTCTCGTGGCTACGGTCCTGTTAATAGCATGCTTTAATGAATAATGATGCTCTGATTTTTTAATGATAATGTAGCCGACATTTTAGCATAAACCATTAAGCGGGAGGTAGGCCTAAACATGCAAATGGGTCTTTTGACCAGCAATTCCATTAATTATTTCAAATATTAATCTTGTTGCTGATCTCATTAGCTCAGTATCTTAGTATGGTACCAGCGGCTCAAGTCAGACAGTGTTATGTTTGAAATAGTTTTTTTTTTTTTTTAGATTTAAGGATAATTTCAGGTTAACATACAATTCAATTCAAACCTTAATTACTCTACATTTAAATACATAAATAGTCCTTATCCTTGTTTACATTGAGACAATCACACAAACCAACCATCTTCCAACTAATAATTTAATGATTAAAATACTATAAATTAAAATTCAATTGGTATCTACTGAAAAGACCTTAATTCTTTGAATTTATGTGACGTCTTCCGCAATAACAGAGTAATAATACTAAATAAGGAAATAACGTCTGGGCCTATAGAAGCCTGCGTATTATTACAAAAAAATATTACTGCACTGTTAAATCAACCGGGCATAATGCCAATTTTTTTCGTTGCTATTATGTTTGACCCAAAATGGTTAACGACTTGCAATCGCTGAGAAGAATTGCTACACCTATTTATGCCTATTGAATGCAGGCCTGATTCGAAAAGGGGAACAGATTGTATTCATTATTGTGCGTTTAAAAACATTTACTTAGTTGATCGTTACAATTGTTTTCGTACATAATTTGTTACGTTTTAATTAGGCCTAAGTCGTATCCCATCATTCTCACACAGTAGTCCTATTTATGCATCGGCCTTAAAACCTAGTAAGACCTAGGTCTATACTACTTGGTCGAAGAGACAGCATATAATTGTGCCCTGCCCAAAAGTGGAGTGGAGTTGAATAGCTTGGTTCAATTGGTTCAATTCGTGTCAGTGTTGCGGGATTTTTTTCTCACGACCAAAACAACTCTACTCCCTAAACCTCATATTGAGATTGTTTGTGTAAAGCATCGTGTGTATGCGCATGTTTGTTTTGTGTAAGGGATCATCGCCTACAAGTAGGACAGTGATATTCGCTTTTGACAATCCTTAGCGCATGTGTTGTGCGCCTAAATAATAATAATAGGCCTAGGCCTAATAATAATAATAATAATAATAATAATAATAATAATAACAATAATGATTATGATGATGATGATAACAATAATAAATAAATAACATATATTTAACGCACTTATCCACTTTAAAATTCAATTGAAAGTCCACGAAAACACTACCAGGGGAAGGTTTAGGGGTGGGGGCGCCGCGATCTCCTCCACCCCCCACCCCCCTTTTTTTTTCTTTGGAAAGTAAGAAAAAAGAAAAAAGAAAAAAGGAAAAAAAGAAAGAAAAAGAAATGATCGTCCAAAACACAACAGAGGTTGTTTCGGTTATTCTAAGGCTATTCTGATTATAAAACGATACACAAATTACATCGACATTAACAGAACCAATTCGAGCCATGCCCGAGCGGTTAAAGGCAGGGGCGCCGCAACTTACAGCCATAATAACGGTTCGAACGGCACGAACAAGTCTTTTCGGATAAGGACTATAAAACCGTAGGCCCAGTGTACGCAATAGTGGCTCATGTGCGCTTTAAAAAACATCTTCCGATATGAGTAGGCATAGGGGGAGCCTACGCGTCGTAGGCCTACTGTTCCATACAGCCCCTTTTTTATTGTGATGGGATTACCACTTTGAAGAGTGATTAAGTTCACTGTTTTGCATATCCTTGCTCCTAGCCTATTAAAGCGGAAAAAACATAGATTGAAGCCCATGCTTATTGGTGGTCTTTAGTTTCGAATGATATATTTGAATACTGACTAATAACATGGAAGTAAGACATAACGCTATATGATTTTGACCATCACTTAGACTGCAACAATGTCTTCTTGCAACTCCTTTATGGTTAATTAATTATGGCAATGCTCTTGCCTTAGTATTATCATCAGTTACACCTCCATTTACTGTAGGTGAATAGTCTAGCTGGCTCAGTGATTGTCAAAACTAGTGAGCAGGGGTAGAGAGCTAAGAGAAAGAGAGTGTCAAGCCAGGCTTCGATCCTAAAAAAAAAAAAAAAAAAAAAAAAAAACCAATGCTGAGAGGTACAGACTAAGTTCTAGTGGTCTAGAACTTAAAACATGCATGATGACAAAATTGAATAATAACAACCTGTCATTGTTCCAAGAAGTAAAACAACTACATGATAAACCTGTTAAGAACAACATCTACAAGGAAACTATAAAGAAAAAAAGATAGAAAATAGAGAAAGTAATGTAGGCCTATATTATAATATTATATTGATTTTCAGACAGCGAATAATAATGTATTATTCGCCTCTGATTTAAAAATAGTTTACATAGTTCCAGCAATAATATTTGTGTTTATGTTTTGTTTCTTCAGAAAACATACTCAATGAAGTTGTTAGAGACGTTTAAAGGAATAGTGAACAGGAATCCATGTAGAAGCCGTTCAGAAACTATCAGCCCAAATGAACCCACAAATAAAAATATGATTCACTCTTGTTCATGCCCGCAATTGTCAATAAAGGCTTCAAACGCACAGAGTCATTCATCGAATGACATGTATACGTCCAGTAATTCAAATTGTAATGAAAACTTTGATGACTTTGAACAAGAATTTGTCTTTATACCACCTCTGACAAATCCAAATGTTGAATCGCATTGTGAACCAAGTTCGTTTGAAAGTAGTGTCAAGTCTTACGATAGTTCGCTATCTTCATCTTTCGAGGGTAATAACCATAAAACCTCTGCATCTGACGAGGAATTTCATTCATGTTTTGATCATACTCAGGCAAACCAATTAAGCTGTCAAAGGCAGATTTCTGCTACGTCGTCTGGTTCTGAAGCCATTGACATGGATGATATTGATCATGGTAATCTTCAATTTTCTGATATTCCTGCAATGGCACTCAGTATAAGGACTAGGACACAAATGTCACTGCTTCTTAACATCCCTTTAACTTTAAATAACGATTGGAAAATGCTTGCAGGTGAACTTGGGTTTGAATATGTGGAAATCGAAAACTTCGGCTTACAAAAAGATCCAACAGGAGCTATGATCAGCCAGTGGTCTACAAAGGGAGATAGCTCTCTGGCAGGATTAATGGATGCCTTGACATTAATTGATCGTTTGGATGTTATTAACTGTGTAAAAAAGTTCGTAGGTAAGTAATTTAAATCTAAAAAGAAAACAAAAAAGACAAAAAGAAAATGTTTACATCTTAGTACGAAAGACCATTGACATAACTTGAGTGAAACAAATACTGTATAAAGGATAGAAATAAAAGAAAAACAATACTACTTGGTTCACCTCAACGACTATAGAGAAAACACGACGAGATAGTTTTTGGGACGTAACCTTTATTTGCAACCTTCGATATATTAAGATATTTATTCATTATTTTACATTGGAAATGCCGCCCACACATTTGGTAAATTTATATCTTTGCTATCCTCACAATGTTGAGAGGATCCTATTCATGTTTTATTTTGTGACCGTTTGTCTACCTGACTACTGATAAAGTGCCAATGGCTATAATCTAATCAGTACATTAGGTGTAGTCCAAAAATTAGATGTATGTATGCCTGTCTCTTATACACATCTTATGCGCCAATAAATGAACGCAAACCCTTAACAGTCTGTGGTGGAGTGCACGATTGTAATGTAGATATACGATGTG